GGAGTAGGAGCAGGAGCAGGAGCAGCAGCAGCAGCAGCAGCAGCAGCAGCAGCAGCAGCAGGAGCACGAGGAGGGCGAGTGGGTAGAGTTGCACTAATTCACTAGAGATAGTCGTAGTAGGAGGCTGTCCTCAGTCCGAGTTTCTCAGCTCCCGGCTCGCCAAACAACCCGCAGCCTGGTTGCCTTGCAGGACTACATGTGGCTCCGCGACAAAACCAAGGACTGCAGCAATTGTATGAGTGTTGTGCTGACTGCGTCGTGGCGGCTGCCAAGAGGACAGCACGGTACTTCGCAAGCTTGTTCACAACCCCTTCGGCTACGTAGTGGCCTTGCTGATGCGGACCCTGCCAGCCACCATGCGTGGGGAGCATGTTGCTTGGCTGAATTGGTGGACAAACTTATATGTGTGCTCTGTCACGAGTGGTGCGATGCCCAGGTCTTTCACGTCAAGGTCACCAATCTTGCGGACAAGGCCTACTACATGGACTCTCGTCGCGGCGATTGGGCGTTGAAGCATGAGAAGGACGCCGTCATCTACGAAGGAGATGTTGGCATCGTCAGTGTGGGTGGCCGATCTGAACACAGATGCAGGGACGGACAGGTTTAGGCTTGTGCTGAACTTGTGCTGTCGGGTAGCAGGGAATGAGGGTGGGCGAGAGAGTTGGACCCGGTATACTGCGAGCGCATGGGCCTTACGTCCGCAAGAATAAGAACAGGGGGTGAAAGAATGCCCAACGAAAGAAAAACGAGCTAGAAAGAAGAAGCGAGGGACAAAGGGACCCGCGGCACTTCGTGGTTCCAGAAATGGGAAGAAGAGAGGACAGAGAAGCATGCGCAGATTGCCGCTATCTTGCGGTGGCTTCTCCTCGTCTTTCACAGGAACAATAGTAATGTCGTCTGTGGATGCAACTGTGTGGTTGTCTGAGGTACCGTTCCTTTTTATGGAGGTGGCTTCCGACTCTTTCCCTTTGCGGGCATGCGCACCTTGATCCCAAGAGATGTTGCCATCAACGTCGCAGTTTACATGTTGAGCTAGCGTTAACATAAGCTGTTTCGACCTGGTCACATTCAGAAATTGTCATGATCGCCTTATGGGCTCTAACAGTAACACATGGACAAAGGAAGAACCTATGCAGCAACCAACATAGTTTGCTGCTGTGCCGCTTCGCAAGACTTGACAGCATTCTGTGTCTCTCCCTCTCTCCGTCTCTCGATTTCTTTCTCGCGATGTACGTATGCATGTGAAGGCTTATGTATGCATGATAGCGCATGCAAGCTCGTGACCAGGAGCTCGGTCTGAATTCCAAGGCCCGGGCTATGCGCACCTGCGCCTTTCCCACATCCACCCAGCAGTGGCGACCTTCAACATCCGCCACCTGTGGCAGGGCACCTACCGTGGCAGCCTCGGGTATTGATGTCCTGGGAGGGAGCCAAACTCTTTTGTTTTCCTGGCCCAGATGCCCCAGGGCTCTTGAAAGTGTCCGAGTCAAAGCCTCGAGGTGACCCCTCCTCAAAAAACGGTCCAAAGAGGCAATGCTGGCAGTCATCAAGTCCGGTTTCGATAAACAAGGTCCAAAGGGGCAGGGCTGCTGGGAAGGTCGCCAGTGTTTCCTCCTCCAGGTGACCACGAGCACGTGCACGACTTCTTGGTGAAGGATGTGATGCTGGAGGTCGGAGTTCTCTGCTTGTAAGTAAAGGGTTTGGAAACAAGAAGAAGGCCCCAACTAGTGTCATATGAATCCGCTAAACATTCGAAAAGAAAAAATGAGGGCAGAGTTTGTTGCATTAAGGGTTCAGTCCAGAGGGTTTTGCAATCTTTGGTTTCAAGCTGGGAGCTGAGCCTGGGAAAAAGACGAGTTGAGAAGAGCAGTCAAAAAACCAACAGCAACGACGACAGAGACAAGTGCAGCGGTGTTTAAGACAGCCCGGAGGAACTGCAGCAACTGCATCAACCACAATGTGCTCAGCACCAGAAGCAGACGCCGCAAGCAACAAAACAGTGATAGTTCCACCAACAGTACTGTAGTGACACGCAGAGAAGCTACCGCCAGCATCATATGAGCCAACATGGTCCGGCAGCAAATGAGCTTGCGATAGCATGTGGCATGTTGCAGCCCCCGCAACATGGCCAGCAGAGCTCTACAACCTGTCACCGTGGCACACAGACCACTCGATAACATGGAGTCGCTACAATCTCGGATCCACAGCCCCGAGCTTTTGGTCCTGATTCAAGCTATACCCTGCAGAAGTGAAGCCGAGTTGAGACTTCTGCACTTGCAGGTGGACCGGCCGACGCCACTGCACCACAGCGGGGACTTTATGGGCACAGCGAGCCGTGAATGCAGAATGTAAGAATCTGAACTGTTGTCCTGACGTACATTTGCAACATGGAAGCAGTGCGGGAAGCACGGCATGCGACCGACAAAAGCCAGAACAGTAATAATACTCTCAAGCACAATTTGGCAGCTGCATCATCTTCCTCTTCCTGCCCGTTGCCCAGCCATGACGACAATCACCATAGGCTTCATGCTCACCTGCAAGTTTGTCCCTGCCATCAGCACGTGCAGAGCAGACTGCATTGCTTGTCGGCCGGCTTTGAACCCTGAGCCCGAACACTGCCCGCGCAGCTAAGGAGCAAGGTTCGACTGAAGGCATCCAACTTCAGCAATTGGGACGGTTGGGTTGCTTGGGAAGCCTCTGTAAATGCATCCAGATGAGTCTAGGGTTTGTGAGCGTTTGGGGAATCTTCCTCTGCTACCGCAACATGATGCGACGTGCTGCACGGATTTCTCAGCAGCCACAACCGGGAGAGTGCAAAAGAGAACGATGAAGGCAGAAGCAGCGATGACATGCCCTTCAGTAACAACACAACACACGCTTATCCAGAACCCAAACCCTAAGACAAACTTTGGCCGATGAAGGCATCCGCACCAAACCAGAGAAGCAGCAGAGAAGCAATTTTAGGTGGCTGCTCTGCCTGCGGCAGGTGTGTACAGTCCACCTCTAGCAGTCTTTCTGAAAATGCGATACTCTCCCTAGGTTCATGGTTTAGACAAGGCCTGTGAGACTTCGTGAGGCCTAGCTTAGCAAAGGGACCCTGTGCCTACATCTGTGAGTTTTTTCAATCCCCAACACTTGCAGGTCAATGTTTTGGCGTTTCGGGTTTCTGGCTTTGAGGCCGTGTGTCCGGGTTTCTCCAAGGTGAACGGAGATGGTGAGACACGGCTGGTGGACTTCTTCGGCAACTAAAGAAGACACACCGGATTTGGAGCGTCATGCTTCTTTTTGCTACACCGCTACACTCCGTACCTAGAGGAGAGGATCACTGCCACGATACAAAAAATATTGTCATGCTTAGCAGCTGTCCGGTGTTGCAATCACGGCTACCTCCGGGACCGCTAGTTTGCATAACTCAAGACTGTCTGTTGCGACATGTTATCCGGACTGGTTATTCAGAGAATTCCAGAGATCCTGATGTACGGGGAGGGGCCTGTGTAGCCCTGAAGAGGGCAAACACAGTCGCTTCAATGTCAGTCAAGTCCTGTAAAAGCACATAAAAGCACACTCGGCTTCAGGGGCTCCTCCTCCCAATCTCCACAAATGGGTCCATGAAGAGCTTCATGGCCCAGTATCCAGGCGAAGGAGCCGTAGGACGCCCCAGGATGCAAATCGCCCGAGCAAGACAGAGCCCGAATCCGGAAGGATTTAACTTGGAGCATGCTTACTCTGGAACTTCGGATGAATTCACGCCCCGAGCCCTCAAGCAGCTCGTTGAAAACGGGACGCATATTCATGCCGGTTTGGGCAAAAGACGGACATGAATTTCCAAGCTCTGCAAAGTTTTTTTTTAAAGCCCCCCTTCGAGTTTTCAACCTCCTGCACGTGCGCCCTGATAGCCAGATCTGATGATATCGGTGCTGCACCCTAAGGGGCAGTTTCACACCTACGCTTCAGTTTGGAGCAATTCACATTTCTCAGCCTGTCGGAAATCGGCACTTGGGGGTTTTGAGGTAATCCGGGCTAGTTCAGAGACTTGGGTCTTTCAGGGTTACAGGGGTGGTGGTGTTCTGGATGGACCTTGGCGTTGACATCTGCCTGCTGCAGGAGTGTTGCGGCGAATGCACTTGTCTCCATTCCTTGCGGCGTCTAGGCTTTGTCTGACCCCGAAATACTGGGCCCTAAGCCTATTGGGCCTATTGCCTGGACCTCAAAGATGGGACTCTTCACGTGCCGGTTTCAACTGGGTGCATACACACGCCTACGGCGGGAGCCTTGTGCGTCTGGTATCGTAGCACTTTGTCTTGCAGCTGAGAGGCTCCAGGTCTGATAGACGCTGTACCCATGACGTGCTCTAAGCTTTTCGAGCCTCCGTAAAACGAAGGAACAAGGCCCTTGCGGTAGCCCGGGCAACCAGGCCAACGAAGCCTTGTCGAAGAGGCACCTGAAGCCCCAAAAGCCGTGAGCCTTTCGTCGAAGAAGCTTCCACATTAGGTCAGAAACAGAGCGATGGTCGGTATGATTACGCAGCAGATGGAAGTCGAACAGCCTGAGCTCCAATATCATCAATATCTTAGCTCGAATCCTTAGACCCGAACACACGAGCATTGAACGAAGGCGGGGCAGTTGTGTGCTTTTTCCGTTCCACGTTTCATGAATCATTGAATTCGCTTGCGGCACAGCAGCTGTGGAACTCTCGACGCTCGCCCGAGCAAAACAGAGACGTCCTTGGACGGCACTGGTTGTGGTGGTGGCGGACGCTTTGAAGCGGATGCAGGGGCTCAAGCATTGCGTGCCTAGCAGATGGAGCTTATTGCCCTAAGCCCCTAAGGCTAAACCTTAGACGAGTGTCCTCGAAACCAAAAAGAAACCCTTGCCTTACACAAAGGGAAGCCCTGGACGCAGATGCGAAGCACTCAGTCCGGAGCTTCGAACCCAGCTGGGAAATGAGCGTTTGCTTGGCTCTTCGGCTGGCCGCTATCCTTTCACTCCCGTGCGCCGCAGTAGGAGCTTTAGACCGACGACTGGATGGTACTACCACCACATCCTCCTATGTCGCCACCTCCTCCTTGGGCGGCCAAGCGTATGCCGGGGCCGGGGAAGCCTGCAGTGCCGTCTGCTCCTCCTGGAACTACTGCTGCAATGACTGGCAGCTCGGGAGCAATCAGTACATCTCCTGTGCGCAGGCGTGCATGATGCGCTACCGAGGGGAGTCGGAAGACTCTATCCGATCGCAATGCCTTGAGCGGCAATGCGCCGCCGATGTGGGTGGCTTCGCCTATGCTCTGTGTGCGAAGTGTGAAGACCTGCATGATGGTTGCCAGCTTGGGGTGCAGGACGAGTGGGCCTGCTACGCTGGTGCTTCTGTCGAAGTGTGCCAGCCTTCCATTTACGAGGACGGCAAGGTCGTTACACTTTACCACCCCAGCTCCAAAAGATATTTGGGCGTTGGCAGCTACGCTGGATCTGGCCGGAGGATTACCGCGCTGCATGGGGGCTTAGGCGACGAAATTGGGTCGCTCTGGCAGCTTCGGTTTACAGATGGTGGCGTGCAGTTCCTCTCTGTGGGACAAAGTGGCCCGGCGAGCGACTTCCTGCCGGACGACCGACCGCTGGGAAACGACTGGTTTCTTGCCGGCTGTGGAATGGAGAGTGTGATCAACGTCGATGCGCCGAGGACTTTCTCGCTTCGTCAGAGCATCAGCTCCAGCGTCCTCTTCTCTGTCTCAACCCACGACCTTACCTGCAGCCCCGCCGGGCGATTTGGCGCCGAATGGGAACTTTTGGTGGAAGAGTTTCCAAGGAAGGCGCATGTCTGTGGCGGTTACACTGCTGCCACCTCTGCAGCCAAAGCAGCCCACTCTGCTTTGTTGGCCGGTGCCTTGAGCGCGCAACTGCTATACCTGTGAGGCTCTCCTCTCATCTTTGCGCATCGACATTCTACAAGCGTTTATGAAGTTTTGCATCAGGAAGGATGTCGAAGCAAAGGTTTAGTTACTTGTGGCTTTATTTCTGTGCGGCTTCTTCTGGATTGTCGAAGTGTTCTGCTGGTGGATGACGAGGTTGCGTAGCTAGCGATTATCTAGCGATGGTGAAGCTGGAACTATATAGGTCCAACGTGGCCTGCCTGAGTTTCCTTCTTGCCTCTACCATAGACTTCGCCTGGCCGCGCCGAGAGCAAGAGGCAACAAAGACCTACTTGTGATCTATTTTGCCGGACTGTCGTGCTTTTCTCGTGGTGGCCTCATAAACAGACATTGGGCATAGTCTGTGCCCCGGCGGGAGAACGCCTTGGAAGTCCGTGTTGCGAGAGTCCAAGCTTGTGCGAAGCGAAACGAACCCTTACCGTTCCCCCAAGAAAACTTCTAATCCCAATACCCCAACTCGCTAAATGCCAAACCCTTCGATTAACTCGCCCACGAGGCCCAAACCCCTTCGGCTCCCTTCGGGCCAGGGCCAGGGATCCGAGTATCCGGTGCGCCTCGGCACGAAGGCGGTGACGAAGCTTCTGGAGCTCGAGGCAAAACAGCTTCTGTTTTGGGGCTCAGGGAATGGAGTAGAGGGTGATGGCCAACATCATTGTCAGTGCCGCTGTCTCAGTTGCATCTCTTCAGGCTATGGATACCACTGTTACGATTACGGCCGCTAGGACTTTGGTGTGTGCTCCTTTCATGTGTGCACCTGGTGCTGTTGCCACAAAAACTACTTGACCCCGTCTAACAACCCCTCCTTGCATTGACATGCCAGTACAACATCTGGGTTTGTCGTTGTGATCTGACTTATGAGTCAACCTCGTATGAAGTTCGAGGCACCCGGTGCATGAGCTCCCAAAACATGGGCTCAGAATCCATACAGTCAGGCGTATCCGGGTTTTTTGAGGTGCTTAGGTTCTTGGGCTCAAAGGTCGCAGCAGGAACCGCGTCTGCTACTGCTCGGCTTTCGCTAGACTCACCTCACGCTCTTGCCTACTATCCACGGTTGTGTTCGAAAGAGCTCGACTCAATGCTTCATTGAGGCACGAGCCTTGGCTGGCCGACTAATATAAGCAGGAATTTTCCGACAGCCGCACCTGCCAGGCGAAGAAGTTGCGATCAGTGCCTGCCACAGCATGTCTGCATCGAAACCGTTCCGCTGTGGTGCGCCATTTGCCGGTAATGCACGGGACATGTGTCGGCGCGAAGATTAGCGCATATTGACAGTGAGGTAATAAGACAAGCATAGGCTATACTGACAGCCCGAACCTCGCAATTCGACACGGATTGTGTGCCGTCGTGTCAGTATTCTTGAATATTCTTGAATCTTCGAGTGTAAATACCAGTAGGTGCATGTATTTTTTTAACTGCGCCCGTAGGAGTCGCATTAAGGAACAAGCTGACGGCGTTAAACACAGTGGTTCTAGCACGGCTCTTGTGGGTAGCGAGAGGCAAGAAAACAGTAACAGCATGGATCCCAGTATGATATCCGGGAGAGAGCCGTGAGAGTTTGTTATCGGCTTTTGCCACGAACGCTTCGGGGTTCATTCTGGGAGTTGGGTCGAGACGGCAACGCGGACTTCGGGGTAGAGCAAGTTCCAGATCCCCCAATACATGTGCCATACTTACCAGTGATTCAACAGACTATAGAAGACCACAGGGCATGTTCATATGCTGCAACTTGCTAGATACTACCCTGGTGCAGTTGAACTCGTAGCTGCTTGTTGCTAAATCACACCCGCAGTGGTGTCTGCAGCTTCAGTTTGCTCCAACCTGAAGGGCTTGATTCATACTACCGCCTCTTTCGCGAGAGTTTCCAGGTTTCTCTGTCGGGGTGGCTTTAAGCGTCGGCTTACGGTTCCACGGTATTTCAGCATATCTCGGCTTGAAGTTTGGCGGTCAGCTTGTCCGGTGTTAAGATTCGGTGCCTCAGTCTCACGGCAGCAGCGTTGAGAATCCAGCAATGAAGCCTTTGCCCATGTACGAGCAGCGAAGCTGCCAGAGGCTGTGTATAACGCTCTTTGAAGCAATTCAACATACCTCTGAGGGCACTTGAAACCCACGCGTTTCTTCAATGGGTTTGGCAACTTGTGGTGTGGACGCGACCCCGAACAGACCATGCGCACTGCATTCCAATCAGCTGTTGGCTCAACAGCTCACTCATGCGATCCATATCCGATACTACTAGCTGATCCATTCATCAGAAGCTCGGCTTGTACAGAGGGTTTTGTCGTGCAGGAACTGGTCAGCAGTGATTGATTGCCGAAGCTTACGTAGGCTGTGGGATCTATCTGTCGAGTTTCAGTTCCGATGTGTCTGGAACATAGAGTCGTCTGTCCATGCCAGCAGTGTAAGCACCTTCGACCAGGATACAGAACGTCCATATACCTGCCCTGCGACTGGGCCTGGGGCGTCGGAGCCGCATCTATGAAGACCGGTGTGGGGCGCACTTGACGGTCTCACTTGGACTTGGGGTTTGCGGGTTCGTTTTGCTTGCTGCAATCTTGGCAGGGTGCCAGCCAGAGTTTCCGCGACGCAGCATTCAGCTCCGTAGCAATTGAAGACACAATAAAGGGACGCGCCTGCAGGCATGCCGACAGATGGCGAGAAAGACAAAGTTCCAAGCTCACCACAAAGTGCCTTCGTCCTGGTGAAGGGTTCAGGGGTGTTGAGAGACCCAGGGCGCAGTGAATTCAGAGCTCAGGTGTATGCCGACGCGCTGTGCTGCGAGTGACCGGCATGACTTGCTCCAATTGCTCATCCGCTGTGGAGAGGACAGGGCCTTCTGGCCTACGTTTGGGGATCGGGCAGCCGAAAGGTCCTCGATCATCTAAGCAGATCTCATGTCCAGTCCCAACCCCCAGGGATGAAACAGACAGCGGAAAGAAGAGTCGTGCTCATCATGTTCCTGTCTCAGCTCAAAGCCTTGAAGCCTCGGCTGGGCCACGCCGATATCGATGTATCAAATGCAGGAGTCTTCTTTCTCGGACACCTCATGTCTTAGCACTGAACCATGCAAGCTGACCGAAGAAACCCAGAGCCTGGTCAGGGCCCTGAGTCAGCTAGACTTCGTGGAGCGCTGTCAGGCTCGGCTGCGCGCTGGGGTCTCTCGGGGATGCGGGTGCTTTCTGGTCCAGTCAAACCCAAGCCGTGCGCCCGAATAGCCCGAATCGCAGTCTCGGCCTGAATTGCTGAGTCGGAGGCCTGGTTCTCTGAACCAAGCCGGCAGGACCTCCCCTGATGTGTTGTCATGATTGTACATGTGTCCGGCTTGGTTGTCTTCTTTGGCCAAGTTTGCTAAAGATTTGCTATCCGTGAACCTTGCTTGAAATGCATTCCAGTCTGAAAACTCAGGCACCAGACAAGTAAGGAGCTGTTGACATAAAGACCGCAAGCCCCAGACCTGAAGCTCTCATCCTGCGATGATGCAATGCACCTGTTGAAGAAACCAATGCCTGCACTGAACCAGAAGGCCTCAGGCTTGATGCTCTTCACGTTGGGGGTTCTCTGAATGATCAGCGCCTTGATAGTCATGTTGGTTTATGGTAGCTGGTTGGGTGTGGATATAGTAATGCAGCTGTTTTTTCGACCATCTCTTCAAGACATGGCTGCTGGTCTTGGGTGAACAATCCTGAAGTTGCATAGTGGTGACTCTTCAATTCTTGCTGCCTGCGAAACTGTTGCCCCATCGTTTCGCCATCGCAGAATTGAGCTCAAGTACCGTACCAAGGTCTCTGTAGTATTCGCACGATGATGAGTTGATGACGCTCTCGGACCGAAAGCTGCACCCCCGCCCGAAGAGCCGAAGAGGTCGACTTGATCAACTCGCGGGCTTCCATCGATTACAGTGGCAGATCTGGCGCTGGGCCGGGCCTTCAGGATCTCTGCGCACCTGGGCAAAGTTTTGAGGCTTGGGGACCTCCGGCCCAAATACTTTACAGCCTCTTCTGTGATTGCCAGGGAAGAAGTGCGAAGCTTATCAAGGTCAGCTGGTAACTGGCACGACATACCCGCAAGAACCGGTGGGGTCAGTGTCGTAGTCGTCCAGAGCACAGCTGTCGCCTTCTAGCGGGACAGATCCTTAGTTCATGTGGTCAGGTCAGTGCTGCGTATCTGGAAGTTATGCGAAAGACGGCCTCCACGACTTTCCTTGCCAGTGCTACTAGAATATACCTTGCATGCTGAGTCGTACACCCTCATTCTGCTGTCCTTCAGTGCCAAAGCTGAGGACGAGGTGGAGAACATCGGCTTCGAGGCAATACGATATTCTTGCTTTTGGCATCTCAGCACTCGGGGTTCGGGGGAGATGCTTCAGGGCGCGGTGCTGCAACCTGGTGACTCTGAGCTTCTGTGACTGCAGGTCTCGTTGCTAGGGTCCCCCCCTACCTTGTCTGACGTCGCCGAGTGCGAGTGCCGAAAGCCGAAAAGGCATACTCAGGTGGAAAAAATACTCAGGTGCATGGCAACAGTTGAAGGCCCGCCTCCTAACATCAGGCCGAATCCCGCCCTTGATGTTGTCGAAAGCCTCATCCGATAAGGCTACCCCGGTTAAGGTGCTAGTTCCCCTATTTCCCCTGCATGCTTCTCTCTTCTTCGAGGCGTCAGTGTTGGAAGACTTCCAGGTTCTCGACTGCCACTGGCCTGCGGTTCGGTTCCAGGCGTAGGATTTCAAGCTTCCGAGTCGCTGTTCGGGCTTTGCGGGAAGGTGTGGGCCTTCCTGGATTTTCGCAAGATCCGAAGTGTTGACATGCTTGTTGGCGTTGCTGGGCTCATGAAGGTGCTGATTCCATTGGTTAGCTTACATCACGCCGGCCATGTCTACCGCTACTGCACCTCATGAGCGTGCGGAGATTCGTTATCTGCTGCTCCCGCCTTCAACACTCCCTGTGGATTTGCGCAAATGTGCATGGGTCTTTGGTCCCGACGCACGCTGTTAAACGATGATCGTATGTGTGTAGATCTGCAGAAAGATGCGCGTGTACGCATATACACATGCCCACTGCATGAATGTGCACATGCTGCAGCACGGAAATGCACAAGAACATACGCACCCATTGACTGAATACATGGCCTATGCCAAATGCAAGGCCAGGAAAGATACAGACAGTTTGCACATACTGTCTGGGGGTGTACGCAGTGAGTGGAGGAGCCCAGCGGAGCGTCAGTCAGGTGAGGCATCGCCCGGAGGGCGGATGTCGCTGGACCTGCTGGTCTCCGGGAGCGAAGGAAAAGGCCACAGTGGGCTTACAGGGCTCAGGGCGTGGTGCTGAAAGTCGGAGGTTTAGGTAAGTATCATCGGGGTGTTATCTAATTACTACTTCCGCGATTGTTGCGGAAAGGCACATGCCACTTTTGTACACTCGCCAGAAGCAAAGTCGCAGAACTGCCATCGGAATGCATCCTGCGACATCTGCGACGTGACTCCGCCCGAAGCCTCGGAAGCTTTCGGAGGCTGCAATGTGGCCTCTGCCACCGAGGTGCTGCTAAGGCCGTGGCTGAACCATGGCCCGTATGCTTGCGGTTGTGTGAGCAGTGAGAGACCAGACCGTGCGGCCTTGTGCATTGTATTACTTGCCGAGCCCCAGTCGAAATCTCCACGAGGCTGCCAGGGGTCCTCGAATGCTTGCCAGGCTCGGCTTTGGGTCATTATTCGCGCTGTCATCAGTTTCTTTCTGATGTATCAAGACACCATGAACAATGGTTACCGACTAGAATCTAGACAGCCGGTTTGCTTTCGGGAATGTTCAGGACCCGGCGCGTGTACCCTCGGAAAGCCTAGAAACGTTGCATCTTCATAGCGCTCTATTGCGGTCCACGACGCCATGAAACCAAAGTACATCCGAAAGAATCTCAGTCGAAGCATTCTGAGAAGCTTGAAGGCTCGGAGCAACGTCTCCGGGTTGCCTTTGACCCGACGCAGGTGGGAGCATATTCTTCTGCATGATATACGCGCTAAGGTTCGAGGAGAAACCCTATCCCGCAGCCAGGAGAGGTTCACAAGCAGTGGAAGGGGTCTTCGAAGCGTGTGGCTGATCATTGCCGGGTTTGCTTGGGTGGGGTTTCGGGTTTTGAATGGTTTTGACAAGCTTTTTCCGCTCTCACTTCCGCCAACCTTCACACCACCCCACTGGTCACCCTACATCCCAAGAAAACATGAAGGCTTCGCACCAGCCTGCTCTACGGCAAGCCAAGCAAGCCTCTAGCGCTGGAAGGTCGGTGCAAGGGACTTGCTTGGACAGCTGTGGCTCGGCATGGCCCTTGTCCGAGTAGGCTCTTGCTCTCGGAGTGCTCGCTAAGGAGCTTAGGGCTTGGGGTCCCCTACAATAACACCAAGTGGTGCATGAGTGCTGATCTGCCGGCTGCACCTTTGGTTCGCGAGCGTCGAAGCTGGGCTCCTCGGGGCTTGCTGTAAAAGTGGTGAGCAATAGTACAACTAAGTAGCAATATTGCTCCTGTTCGTAAGTATTGCTTCTGCCTGTGAAAGTAGCAATGGTCACAGTAATAAGATGGCAAGAACTTCAGCATGATCAAGGTTGATTGTTTTGGCACTGGTAGTCGTAGTACCGACAGCAGCTAGTCCTCGTCATGACTTTGGAGGCCAAGAGTAGGCGAAATGAAATGGAGACAACGCAGGTTTTATATAGGTCGCTCATGGCGCCCTTCCCAAAGCCCAAATCGTCTACCTCCATGGTTGAGTTCTATACACCACCCTCAGAAGTAGCACTAGAGGGTGCAAGGTGCCATTTTTGAGCAACGCGAGCCATGCGGCACAGGCTACTTGTGCCTAGAGACAAGCCCATCGTGGTGCTTCTCCTGCTCGGTGCTTTGGGTACCTTGTGCCAATGGAGCACCCTGACTCTGGCGCAGGTGCCCGCCTATATGCCACCAGTGGCGACTCTCCGTCCTGGACCGAGGTACGACTTGGCTGGGCGACAGCCTCGGTACTACCAGGAAGAGGCTGTAAACCTTTTTTTCGCATCTGCGAAGACCATTCGTCAAGAGAAGGGCAGGCCCATGCGGCTCCAGCTGGCAGGAGGAACTGGCAAGACTGCGATTTACACCATGATTGCACAGCGCACTTTGCGCAACAAGCCATTGGCCCGCATTGTGATCTTCGTCCCCTGGAAGGCGCTGGCAGAACAAACCCATCAGAAGCTTACCGAGTGCGGGCTCAAGACCTGCATAGTGGGTGATGGTTTTGCCAGGGTAGATAGATCAGCGTCTGTAGTTGTGTCTTGGATGTTTGTTTGGAACGATGTGTTTGACATTGTGGTTTTCGCTCTGCATGAAAGTAAGGATGCGTTCCCAGATCGCTGCCGCTACAGTGTACCCCGATCAGCCAAGGTTTGCGTTTTCAACAGTGCTTGCCGTTTGCGCGGGCAAGGGTTCGCTGTGAAGTTGATTGACGAAGCGCATCACACGGAGGGTGAGGGATTCTTCACCAACATCATGCGCCATCAGGCTGCCACGTCGCACCGGGCACCTTTTTCTTGTTATGATTTCTGACTGCTAATTACCGGGAGATAAGCAGCGGACTTATAAAGGTGATAGTTGTGTATGGGCTGATGTTAGAGAACCATAAGCCAAGACTCTGAAATGTAGGATCACAGAGAACATGAGCACGGTCCCGGTGCACGAATACTCGCACAGCAAGTCCAGCATATCATCAGGAAGTTATGGCAGCAAATTAGTAGTCCCCATAGACCTAATCCTGAAAGCTCTAAGCCCGAAATCCTAAACAGTCGTAGCGTCATCTCCCTGGACACCCGACCGATGCACGGAGCTAAGATCCGCGCGGACCTTGAGGGTGACTTCTCGGCCACCTTCCGGGCAAGCGAGGTGCGGTGTGCGATGTTAGGCTTCGGGGATTTGGATTGGGTGTGGGGCTTTGGTTTTTAGGTTTCGAGTGTTGGGTTGTGGATGCTGCTTGTCAGGTGAGGGAAAGCTTCAGAGCTTAATGGCTTTCGTACTTCGTGCGCGTTTTTCTTCAAGCGGAGTCTTGCGCGGGCGTTAGTGCGCGACGTGTAGGGAACTGAAAGCTGGAGGTAATAACCAGCATCAGGTTAGCGCAAGCAGCTGGGAGGGAGAATTAACCCTCCCAGCTTCTGCCTTGACGGCTGTGGAACATCGGCCTCCTTGCATGCTAACATGCATAGGTACTTTTGCAATGCTCCGTAGCTTTGGCCAGAGCTTGTCAGGCAAATGAACAGATGAATCATTCAGGCATACCTGGATGTGCGGGGTTTTCAATCTCGTGCTGATCGGGGGTATGGTTCACAGCCGCTAGAGTATTGGAACAAGAAGAGCATGGGGGTGGTGACGGTGATTATTGCTCCCTTTCCTAGGTCCTTGTCCCAGACAGGAAAGCTTCCTGTTGGTCGTGCAAGTCTTGGCAGTGTTTGCCTCATGTCGAACGCTTCGGCAACCCTCGGTCTCGTATTGTTCGGGGTAGTCGTGGACGTCGTCAAGTTGGCCGTTTCTAGCGAGTCCTGCGTACTGTACTCTCATCCTGTTAGCCTATGCGGTGTTGCTCATGTGAGAGTACGGGACACCCGGGACTTGCCCCTCACGAGTTGTGCAAATGCGTTTTCTTGGAGTCTGGGTTTTCCCTGCAGTGCGACCTAGTCAGCGAAGCGGGTGGGAAAAAAACAGCAATACTGGAGTAGTCGTTGAACAAAAATAGTCAGGTGGACTACAGCTACGGCTTCGACAAGGCGGTGAAGGATGGATATCTTTGTGACATGCAGAGCTTCATCCTGCCCCTGGTGGCAAGATGCAAGGGAGAGGAGTATGCAAAGCTGGTCAAAATTGTGACAGAGAGGAAGGCGCACGGGCACAGCATTCTTACCCACTCGAAAAAGCCATATCCACCGGGGAGCTTCACGTAGTCTAGCACAGAGGCCCTGATTTCAAAAAGATATTCCAGAAGGCAGAATGGTCTCCCATGCTCATCCTCTTCAATCGCATCGAGACTGCGAAAGCCTTCTCCGACATCCTGAATGCACACGACGTCCCATCTGCCGTGGTGAGCCACAGGGACCATCAGGGTTTTGGCAAGTGGCAATAGAGAGATGAACCAAACAGGCAAAGAGAATATCAAACGACGGCTCCAGGATGGGAGAAACCTTCGACAGTACCACCGCCAAGCTTTCGAGGACGGAGAGCTAAAGGTCCTTTGCACGGCGGGGGGGCCCAAACTCTTCCTGCAGTGGCCCAGGGTGTGGAGGAACAACGTGGGTGTCACAGGGTCCTCTCCAGGTTTGGCAGATTCAAGGGGTGAAGTCTATGTTTGAGGAACTTTGAATGCAAAAGCCAAAGCCATGGCTCTGCTCCCCGCACTCCCAAAACCTCTGAAAGTTCTTTCGGGGTCCCCTGGCAGCTTCCCAGAGGTCAAAGTTTTCAACGAGGGCACCGACCTTCCCATGCTCCGCTCCGTCATCATGGCCGAACCAAGGTGGGGCACTGGGGCTGAGGCTACATTACCTTCCGTTCTTTGGCAATTGAGATCCGAAGACAACAAAAGGGTGGCACAAAGCAGATTTGCACAGGCGCTGAGATGCAGAATGCTAGAGACTAGTCAAGAGTCGGAGCTACGCTTTTTCGAAACCCACAGTCTCGGGCTCGCCCGTGTAAACGGAGGTCTGTCTTGGAGTAGTGGCCGAAGCATTTCATGCCAATACGCCACCAAAGGAGTATCTCACAAGAAACCAGTAGCAGCCGTTCGAAGAACAGCCGACTCAAGGCCGACCAGCGATATTGGCTCCTTGTCCGGTTTCGTAAGGGTTTGGGACGCAGCGGGGCCATGGATAGTGCGTTGTCGTAGTCCAGGGTTCAATGGCTGTCACACTGCAGCCTGAGTGCGGTTTCCTTGAAGATCCATGAAACATTTCCTGGGCTCGGTGGGGTCGACTGTTGCTTTTGCTCGCACTTCTGGTTCTATGCAGCCATTCTGGTTGAGCATGACATGCTTCGCAAAACTTGGAACTGAAACCCAGGACCCGGAAGATGAGCTTAGGCAAAGAGGCCTCTTAGAACTCTGCGCCAGCCCGGGATCCGAGACACCGTTGTGTCAAGTCGTCCTCTTTCTCCAGGTCGGTGTTGGGAGCGCACATGGATCCGTCTTTGCCTTGTATGGGTAAGCCCCAGAGCAGCGAGGAACAGAGGCAAGTGGGATTGTTGGCATAGTGGTCGTGATTCTCGTATTCCAATGGTTGCATTGTAATGTGTCACAAAGCCCTGCTCTAAGTATAAACGTCTTCTGAAAGCATCAAAAAACCCATCATGAATCCCGTACATAACCCTTTCAAACAAGTAAGGTCCCCGTATAAGCAAGAAAAAGGCGTCGTGCAAGCAGCGATGCGCGCGCTGCGGCCACACGGAAGCAAGCCGGACAACAAGGCGGGTTCGAGAGTATAGAACCCTCACGGTACCCAGACAGCGCTCTTCTGGCACCATTGCAATAGCCTTGTAGAACCTTGCCGTGCCCTTGCAGTATGCTTGTAGAGGTTCCGAATGTAGAGTGTTTTGGACACTCTTGGTTTCTCCAGCTTACCTTGGAGATCTAGAAAGGAAGTCCGATTTCACGGTCACAGCGCGGCCAACTTTGCGCTCGAACCGAGTCGCACCGTTTCTTTGTTTCATTACATACCACGTTGCCAACAGTCCCTGTCCCTTCCACCAGATGTCTGAGATCATTAGATTCGACGGATCCTGGTCTCCCTTCCCCATGATGCATTCATGACCTGTCAGGCTTGAGCCTTCTCGAAAGCTGTATCAAGCTTAATTCGCAAAATGCTTGGGATCTCAATTTCCCAAGACGCGCGAACTTAACCGCCAAGTGGCATCTCAACAACTTGTATGCCCTCGGGGTGGAGGCGGTTAGCGACGAGAAACCAGCTGCAGTCAGGGTCTGGCAGTCGGTCGAAGCGCACAGATCATGAATGCCAAGCACCGAATGTAAGGAGCTGCAGGGCCCATATAAACTTATCTAAATCTCAGACCTGCGCACGTTCCGGCCCAAACCCGGAGCCCTACGTCCTGGTCCCAGATATTCCTAAACCAAGCGGGCATGCACCCTGAAATGCTCGAGCCAGGCGTGCGTCGTACAGGTCGTCAACCCCGGAGTGGACTCGACAGATCATTACGTGAAAAAGGCGGATATGGGCACAGGCTTTCAGAATGTCCGGTCTCTTTGGTTATGGCGGGGATGCAAACTACTAGCAACGTTCGTGCAATGAAGTCTACAGTACCTTTGACTCGGCTGTGCCCCAGGAGAGGAGATGTGGCATTGCAGCGTTTGCAAAGCTTGTGGTACTTGTTGTGCAAAAGGGCAGGAAAGGGGTGTTCGGGTATGGTCTCGACTGTGCAGGATTGTTAGCTGCTGCACTCTTTCGTGTCAGGGGTTTCAGGTAAGAAAGAACTCTACTACGATATACCCAAGAATGTCTATGACCCTTATATTAGAGGGAGCCCTGACGTCGATCCGACATCCGCAGGCCGTAGAGGCTGTCCTTATCAGATCCGAATCCAAAGTCCCAAACTCGAAAAAGAAGGGTGCTAATGTATCATGTATGCCGTAGAACCTGTGACCAGTGCAGTATCTATCTGTCTACCTATCCATCTATCCATCCATCCATCTTTCTATTTTGTCTATCTACTTACCTATCTATCTATCTGTTTATCTGTCTATCTATGTACCTATCTACTTATCTACCTATCTACCTCTCTGTCTATCTATCTATCTATCTATCCATCCATCTATCTATCTATCTATCTATCCACATACACATACACATACACATACACATAGACATACATGTACAGTACACACACATACACATACACATACACATACACATACACATACACATACACATACACATACACATACACATACACATACACATACACATACACATACACATACACATGAACATACACATACACATACACATACACATACACACACACACATATATATATATATGCTCACGCCCCCTCCCATGATCCACACGAAGCTGCTTTTTCT